AACAAATTTAAAGGGAAAAAATGGAACGGTTTTTGAGAATTTTTTTTAAAATTTGCATTAACTTCAAGCAGAAATTACGCGAAAACTTATGTCAAACATTTGTACATAACCTTTTTTAATGGTCTCATTTTTTAGAGCAGGTTTATTTATGACAATCTCCATCTTCAAATTAGTAGTTTTGCAATGGTAGCTTTTTGCAATATTCGACAATACAGATATAGGAGTAACGCCAAATTTTTATTGTACCAAGAAAAAAATTGAAGAAAAACTTTCAAAACGTTTTTGATAAAATAAGTATTTTAAAAAATGCCTGAACTTCCCCCAAAATTATGCGAATATTACTCATGTTTTCGAAAAATTGTATTTGATGTTATTTCGAGATCCGTCCTTAAATAATGTAATTTAAACATTTATGCTTTAATATTTATACGAGCGGCAAATTGTTCAGATTATGATATTTATGAGTACATGTACTTTAAATAATATCATATAAAGTTTCTTGAAAACTACCCTTTTCTGTGAAAACTAGCTCAAAACTCCGCATTTTCAGAAACGCCATCTTCTCAAACACCGCTCCGAATATTTTCTTCACACATTTCGAACGGATAGTGGTAATTACACTCTTTAATACGACGTAAAGTTCATTTCGGTATATTTTTTGGTTGCACAAAGGTAAATTTTTTGAAAGATCTCTCACGTCGTTGATGTGCATATTTCCAGCAATTCGTAAACACTATTATATTTGTGAGTTGAAGTACTTATATAATTTCAAATTAAGTTTTTCGAAAACTCAAACATTTTCTGTGAAAAAGATGTTCAAATTTCGAATTTACAGTAGCCTTTAAACACCTTTTTTAAAAACGGCTCGAAATTTTTCGAAGAAAATTGCCATTTAGGGCAAGGTTTTACTGTTCTTCAATAATCTTAAAATAACATTTCCGCTCTGCTATTAGGAAAACGAAATATTAAGAAAATGTCAAAAAATGTACTTTGGGCGGCGATAGATGCCAGGAGGCAAGAATGTGTGGCAAGTTCGAATAGCTACCCGAGACCGAAGAAAACTAATACGGAAAAGTCTGTGCCATTCTTTGGCACCACTAATTTTCTGCCGAAAATGCGCCGTTTTTACGCGCACCATAACTTCACCTATTCTACGTATATTACTCCCATATACGTATGTATATGGGAAAGTAAAAATATTGTACAGTTGTGTAGTAATAACATTGAATTTAATAACCAAAATATTAAAAAAATAACAACATGGCATAATGTGGAAAATGTGATCAATGTGATGAAACCATCAATCTGCTATCCTTTCAAATTAGGGAAATGTGACTGTCTTCATCTCCGAGGTACAACAACTATAATGTGATTTATTAGCGTAGAACCCATTCAGAGGCATTGCCGCCATCTTTAGTGTCTTATCTCAACGGTACAAAACTTTCCTAATAAATCGCGATATGGTGATACAATTTCGTCTCATTTACTTCATTCCAAGACGTCAACGGTCATTGAAAATAGCAGAGGGTAACAACTTCATTCTAGTGAAACTTCACTCTGGTGTTTCGTACGTAAAACAATCCAATGAGTAAGCTTCCAGAATTTTAATTAGAATTGAAGCACGATGCGAAAAGATTTTCTAATTGGCTGTCTTTTCTGCAGAGGTTTTAAGACATGAAGTCTCAGATCGTAGTTATCTAATTTTCAGTGCGCGCAGAAATTGAAAGCTTGAATATATATATATATATATATAT